AGAAGTCAGCCAAACTAAGGCCAGGAATTCATAAGTAATAAGATTCTGCTTATTTTATTGGGAGCTCTGTGGTATGCCCCCAAAGAGTAAAAGTAAAAGAGCAAAAAGCAACTAACTATAATAATCTTATTTTATTATTTTTTCTTTACCATCACATTACATTTGTTCCATTAGTATATATATATATATATATATATATATATATATGTATGTATGCATACATGTTTTGTTTTGTTTGTCTTTTTTGAGACAGTTTATCTGTTTAACAGGCCTTGCTGTCCTGGAACTCATTCTGTAAACCATGCTGGCCTTGGAGATCTGCAGTCTCTTCCTCCAGAGTGCTGGGGGTAAAGGCATGTTTTACCATGCCTGGCTTTGTTGAATTATATTTAATTAAATACATTGAATTTAATTGAATTTCTTCTTTCCAAGTCATTTTATTCCACCATTTTTTTCATTTGCTTGGTCACATTTGATTATATTCCAATCTGTTGTGTTACATTAAATCATTCACTACATTGCTGTGGAATATTTCTTTACACTATGTGAATATATGTAATTGTGTTTGTTTTAATAAACAAGCTGACTGACTAACAGCTAAACAGGGTACAGCTAGGAAGGAAAACCAAACCTTGAGAATGATGATGAGGAAGGGTGGAGTCAGGGGAGTCTCCAGCTAGATGTAGAAGAGCAGGAGATGAACATGCTCATGTCATGTTAATAAAGATACCACCATGGGTCAGAGCATAAATGAGGAATACGGGTTAACTTAAAATGTAAGAGTTAGCTAGCAATAAGCCTGAGCTACTGACAGAGCATTTATAATTCATATTGGTTATTTGGGAGCAGGGGGTCAGGACTACATTTTATTTTGCCATATTATTTATAGTATTTAATAAAAATCCTTTAATTTCATACTTTACTTCCTTTCATTTGATCATTATTTTGTTTAGCTTCTTTTTGTCACATTTCATTATTTTATTTTCCATTAGCTTTGATTATACTGCATTGCATTGTATTACCTTATATTTTATTTATTAACTGCATTTATTGCATCGTATTTCATCTAAAATTTTATAAGGTTGCTTTATTTTCTTATATCATATAATTTTATTGTCTCATTTTGCTTATTTTTATGTCTCTCATCACATCACATAATCAACATCTAACCACTTATTTTCATTATTTCATTGTATGTTTGCTATTTTAGTATATTATTCTACTTTATAGCATAGCTTCATTATTTCATCTCATTTGATTACAATTTGATTATTTGACCTTCCCTGCTATTACATGACCGTATATTATATTTCAACTCATTGTTTTATTATTTTTATTTTTTGCATTTCTAGACAGGGTTTAACTGTGTAGCCTTGGCTGTCCCACGGACTCCCTCTTAGACCAGGCTGGCCTACAAGGGAGAGATCCTCCCCAGTGCTGGGATTAAAGGCATGGGCCACTACTGTCTCATTTCATTCTTTATATTTCATGTTAAATTCATGTTAATCTCATCTTATTTCATCATTTCCTTTCATCATCACCTCATTATTTCAATTCATCCAATTTCATTATTTGGCTTGATGAAATCTAGTTGCATTCATTAAATTTAATTTAATCTCATCATTTGATTTTTTTTCATTTCTGTCCATTTTCTTTCATTACAGTCTTTCATTAAATTTCCCGTCAGTTTCATTTCCTTTCATTATGCTATAAAATCATTGTTTTACTTTGTTATCTCATTTGATGTTCATTTTGATTAGCTTCTCATTGATTCATTTCGTCATCTCATTTCATTTCACTTGACATTGCAGTTACTTCATTACATTTATTTTATTATTTCACTTCATCAAATTGAATTTCATTTTATGGTTTTATAATGTTATTTCATTTGATTGTCCTATTTAAAATGATTTCATTATCATATGTCACTTTATTTCATATCACTCATTACATCAATCATTTCATTATTTCTTCATTTCACTGTTTCATGTCATATCCGTTCATTTGGGTATATTATTTCATTCCTTTTTTTTTCTTTTTTTTACAAATGATCTTCAGGATTTATTTAGATGAGAAAATTGTCGATCTCAGCAGGATGAGAAAAGGAAAATTAAAAAAAATCTATAGGAAAATGGTCCCCAAGCTCTCGGTGCTTCATAACTTATCTGCAGCGTCCAAAGGTGTCTGTCTCCCAGGGACTCTCCATGAGCTGCAAAGTCTGCATTAGGACTCCCAGCTGGAGATGCTGGGGGGATCCTTGAGTCAGTGTCACTCAGTTGTCCACAGGGGCAAAGACTCAGGACCTGCCAGCTCCGATGCATTGGAAAAAAAGGAAAGGTAGGTGCCTCATTGTGGCCCTAGAGGAATGAGTCTGCTCCATGGCGGATGGCAAGTAGGCTCCATTCCATCCATCTTCTTCCTCATCCTCCTCCAGGTTGCTGGCTCTCGATGGGTCTTCAAAAAGGGCTGCTGACATTCCAGGCCATACCCCACAGGCTGAGGGGCAGGGCTGCTGGGGTCTAATCCCAGTGGGGGCCTGGAGGCTTCCTTCGGTTAATTCGACGGTTGCTCGTGTCTTCTTTTGACAGACTGAGATTCTCAGTTTTCAGAAACTCTTTGAAGGAAAATGGATTGGCTTCTTCAAGGTCTTCAAGTCTGTCTCTGTCGGGAACCAAGAGGCTCCGGGTCCTCGATAGTCCGGGCGCGCTTGGCCACTGCGCACATCACCGCTCTCTAACCCGCCGCCAGTTTATGCCTATTATTTCATTTATCACTTGCTCACTTCACGATTTCTTTTCATCTCATTTGATTACATTACATTTTACCTAATGGCATAGCATTTCATGTCATTGCATGACCTTATCTTTCATTTCAACTAATTTTATTATTTTAATTTCATGTCATAATAACATTCCACTTCCTTATTTTCAACATCATTATTTCAATTCATTACATTGCATTTAATTGCAGTTATTAAATTTTATTTCATTTCAACTTTCCACTTCATTCATCCCATCATTTGCATTATTTTATTTTTCTCATTTAATTCCATTTCCACCCATTTTCCTTCATTCATTATGTATTGGTCACTGTTTCATTTCCTTTCATTATTCCATAAAAACATCACATCATTTTAGTTTTTATTTCATTATAGTATCTCATGAGATCTTCATTTTGTTAGCTATATTATAGCATTTCACCTTATTTTATGGCTTTACTATCTTGGATTACATTACATTTCATTTCTTTACATCGTATTTTATTTCATTATTTCGGTCCTTTTTTTGAATTGCATCTCAACTTACATTGTTACAATAGTACTTAATTTTACCTTCTTACTTCATATCTTTTTATTATCACGTTTCTTTTTATATAGGCTTACATTTTTTCAACATTTCATTTTTTCATGTCACATCACTTCATTTAATTTTTATCTCATTTGATTACATTTCATTACACATGACTACATGGCATTTCAGGTCGTGACATGACTTATACTTTTTCCAACTCATTTTATTATTTTAATTCCAAGCCGTTATCACCATTCCAATATTTCTTTCACTTATTTATGTCATAAAGTGAATTTAACTTCATCCTTCCATTTTACTATGTTTTATTCCATTTTTTATGAAATCATTCACTTTATTTTACTTCCAGATTCATTTTGTTTCATTATTTTATAAAACCATTTCTTTTCATTTTTTGTTTCATTATCCCATCTGATAATCATTTTGTTTTGCCTCTTTTTATCATTTCATTTCATTATTGCATTTTACATAAATTTTTATGTTAAATTTCATTGTACTATATTTCATTTCATAATTTTACCTCTTTATAATAGTGTTTCATCCTATTTTGTTTTAACAAATTTCATTTTATTTTGCTATTTCATCATTACATTTTTCACTTTATGTCAAAACATGACAGCATGCTTTTAAAACTTACTTTCATTATTTCATGGCATATCATTTTATTTCAGTATATGTTCTTATCATCACTTCATTTCCTTCCATCTCATTTAAATATTGTTATATTTTATTACTCTTCATTTCCTATCAGATTTTTACATTTAGTTTCAACTCACTGCATATTTTAATTCTATGTCAGTCTTATTTCCTTGTTTCCTTTTATCATCACATTTCAGTTCACTACATTTCATTATTTCCTTATATTACCTTTATGCATATTTAATTATATTTACATTAAATGTAATTCAGTAATTTAATTGAATTTCTTCTTTACAAGTCATTTAATTCCACTACTTTATTGCATTTTGTTTGGTTATACTTGATTATATTCCTATTTATGTTGTTTTCATTTTGTTTCAGTATTTCATAAAATCATTTAATTTCATAGTTTCATTTTCTCATTTGATTTTTACTTTGTTTAGCTTCTCATTTAATTTCATTATTTTATTTTTTATTATATTTTTACATTTCATTGTAGTGTATTATATTACATTTTGTTCATTATTTTCTTGTTTCATTTTCTAGTTTAAAGACTATTGTTTATGTCTTATAACTTCATTTTATGTCACTCACTGCATCACTTAGTTAACACTTTATTTTTATTATTTTGTGCTGTATCTCTTCATTTTGTATTTTATTTCATTTTTAACATCATTTCATATCTCATTTTTTCATCTTCTCTAATAGCATTTCACTATATTTGATTATATGACATTATCTATCATCACAATATTACATTGTATTTCAACTCATTTCATTTCACAATTCAATGTCACAATCTTATTTTGTATTTTGTTTTCTTCATCATCACATTATTTTTAATTCATTGTATTTCATTTCCTGTGCTGTGGTGACTCTCCATCTTTGGAAGCTGAGCTGTTAGAAATGCCACGAGGAGATAAAGGCCCCTGTTGGGGAAGTCCTGTTATTTGCCTGTGCATTTGTCAATAAAGTACTGTCTGGCCAATAGAAAACCTAGATAGGAGGGACTAGGAGTCGAGGAGGATTCTGGGAAGGGGAAACACAAGAGAGTCAACATGTGAAGCCATGGGGGTAGGACGCCGGGAACTATTCTCCGGTAAGAAACATACTTAGATTAACAATTATGGGGTAATTACTTAAGGCAGAGCTAGCCAGTAAGGGACAAGCAAGGCCAACAGCTTCATAATTAATATAGCCTCCTGTGTGTTTATTTGGGACTGATGCGGATCTGGAACCAGGCGGGCGGGACGGCTTCTCTCAAGGAAAGCTTCTCGTAACAGGCCCCCCATCTGAGGACCACATCTTCAGCAGTGGGCTCCATATGTAAGTTAAACCCCAGCCTGTGGCAGTTAGGGCTTGCCCATCCCCCAAAGTTCCACCCACCAACCCCCTTTCTCGAAAGGGGCGTGTCTCTCAGCCTCCCTTTCATCTCCATTCTCTGCCACCAAAGCATCTGCTGCTTCTGAGGAGGACCAATGGGCAAAGTACATGTCTGCCCTAGGTTACTTTGTATTGATGTGACAAATATCATGAGCAATAGCAACCTGGGATGGAGGGAGTTTGTTTGGCTCAAACATCCCGGTCCTTGACCATCATAGAAGGGAAGTCAAGGCAGGAAGTCAAGCAGGACAGGAAGTTAAACAGGTGTTGACTGGCTTGCTGAGCTGGCTTTCCTATACAACCCAGATGATCACATGCCTTAGGGGGCTGCCACATCCCATACCGGTCATGAGAAAATACACACTTTCCCACAGGCAATCGGATGAGGTGTTTCCTCAGTTACATTCCCCTCTTTTCACATACCTAGCACGTGTGGGCACCACACAGATGGGATGATCAGTGGGAGATCCAGGTGAGATGACACCAGAGGCAGGGTGCTCAGGTAGACTATCTAACTGTCAGGAAGCAGCTGGCCGGGGCCTGTCTGTAGCAGAACCGAGGACCTGGCGGATGCCTGATGGAGCACAGGAGTGGGCTATGTGGAGACTGCTCTTCTGGCACAGATCTGAGAGAAGCCCGTGGCTCTGGCCTGCCTGCTGGAGAAGGCTGGAGGCAGAGAGAGACCCTGACTGGTACTCCCTCCTGTCAGTGAGACGGTCCCCATCCTTCTGTGTAGGGAACAAGGAAGCCTTGAATGAGTGACGTCCTAAGGAAATGTATGTTTTGACATGGACGGGGCTAGGTCCCAGAGACCAACTGTCCCACCATAAATAGGCCAAGCCGTCACCCATTTGAGCCAGGCTCAAGAGGAATGACCAAGCTTTCCTTGGGAGTCAAGCCGTTTCAGTTCCATTAGCAGTGTGCAAGCATCCTCGTTTCTCCAAGCATCCTCATTTCTCCATACCTTGCCCAGCATCTGTCAGCCTCGGTTTCCTTAGTGCTAGACATTGTGACTTGGGCGAGAGGTCACTTCCAAACACTTTTGACTCTTTTTCCCAGATGATGAGCATGGTTTGTGTTTCTTCTTTTGAGGGCCATCTCTCCAGTTCACTAACCCACGTAGGGATTAGATGAAGTGGTTTTTGTTGCCATTTGTTATCCACACTGTATCTCTGAGGAACGTCTTCCCCTGGCAGGAACTTGACTCAGCTGCTCCGCAGTTTTCCCACATCTACCTTCTGTCCATCCCCCATCCTCTTTAAGGCAGCATTTGTCTTGACCATTTCAGGTCTTTCTGTACTTTGACTTCTTCTCTTTAAGTGCGGCTCTGCTTCCTAGACCTGAGCCTGCTCTGGGGACTGTGGCAGGATCTGGGTTTGCTTAGGATGTAGTATTTGGGCGCCTCCTATCTGAGGGTGTTTCTGGAGCGGTGTGTCTGAGGTAGTAAGACCCACCCTGAGGGTTTTGTGTGGAACGTTTCCTCAGGCTCTATTTCCAGTTGTAGAAAACTGAGAGGAACCCCAGCACCAGCCTTCAGCTGTCTGGGATTCCTGACTGTGGACACAATGCAACCAGCTGTTCTCATGCTTTTGCCCTGCTTCCCTAGCCATGATGCACTGTGCCATCAAAGTCTGAGCCAGACCACACCCTCCTCCTTTGGCTGATTGATCCTGGAGCCTACCAACTTCTTAGATTCACTGCCGTGTCTCAGTCTGCAGAACAGGAAGGAAACAGACTGAGAGAAGGCAAGTGTACTGGTTCGTTTCCGTCAACTTGATACAGAGTCACAAGGGGAGAGGAAACTCAACTGAGAAATTGCCTCCATCATTTTGCCCTGTGGGCATGTCCATGGGCCACTTCCTTCATCACTGATGAGGCCTTCCAGCCCACTGTGGAAGGTGCCAGCTCTGGGTAGTGGTCCTGAGTCATATGAGAAAGCAGGCTGAGCAAGCCATAGAGAACAAGTCAGTAGCTCTCCCCCAGGGTGCTTGCCTCTGTTTCTGCTTGAGTTCTCACTTGACTTTCCTCAGTGAGGGACAGAAGCCAAATAAACCCGTTCCTCCCTAAGATGCTTTTGGTCATGGTGTGGGTCAACAGTGGTCACCCCAGCCCATGAAGAAACCATGAAGCGCCCTGCCCATTGCTTCAGGTGGAGGAGGTGTGGTCTGTGACAGGGAACATGACTATGACTGGGAAGATGGGTCAGGACCAAGTGACCATTTCACTTTGGTCTCAGTTCCCATCAGTCCTCATGAGCTAGTTTATGTTTGTCTCAAAGGCAACGAAAGTCTCGGAGACAAGATCCTATCCCCAAAATGGAGCGAATCTCAGGAGCTATGAGATAGTAATGATTGGAGATGGCTGGAGAAGTGGCCTGCAACAGTGCTCTAGGAGCTGTCCTGATAGTACCTGGGCAATGGTCAATGGTCTTAGGGTCAGTCAGCACCCAGGATCACAAGGGAGAAATCCAGATCTCCTATCTGCAAAGAGCCGAGTCGACACAGTGATTTCCCAGGACTCCTTGAGGTGAACAATCGTAACAGAAGCCTAAAGCCCCCGACTCCAACCATTACTACCTCCATAACCCCATGCCCAAGAGACCCCAAGGGGGCATCCTCCTACTTTCTGGGCATTCTTTAAAGTGGTTCTTGAATCCATACTGGAAGGAAGTTTCTGGGACAGGAGGACTAACAAGTTCAGGCTAGAGAGTGGCCAAGAGCTCTCCATGCCTTGTATCTTTCCACCTTTATTCCCCTTGGTCTGAAGAATAGACAACTTTAAACATGACTTTGACAAAATCCCCTGATGACTTTGCCTCTCTGTAGGACACCTATTCAAAATGCACCTCATCCTCAAAGGCCAGAAATGGTTTGAGGAACTCAGGGTGCAGATAAAAAGGCCACTGAGGCACGGCGCTGGTTTAATTTCTAAGCGAGTAAATATGTGTCTGTCTCTTTGATCCATGGAATCAGAAGCTGGTGAAGGCTAGTCACATTTTCATAACAAGGGCAAGGTGCCTGTGGCCCAACATGGAGATAGCCCCTGTAGGCTATAGTCTGCTGTGATTGGTACATTTCTTGCTCAGTCCTAACAAAGAGCCACCGTGAGGGGAGAATGAGGGTCCTATATATGGGGCATTGAGCTGGCCTACAGTTCTGTCCCTACAGATCAGGGAGCTGATTGCGGTGACCTGTAGGGCTCTTTCGTAGCTCTCTGCTAGTTGTTGGGTTGAGGCTTTGCCCACAAACTGTCTGTACAGGAGCACGGTGACCTCCTAGCTTCACCACTTGACTCCCCCGAAAGAGGAGACTGACATGTCAATACAAGCTTCTATGTGTCATGGGCTAAGGTGACTTTGGCTCTGTTAAACTGGCCTATCATCACCTCCCAGGCACTCTGGTGACCATAAAAGTTGTAGACAACCAAAAGCAACACCTTCATCTCATCATGTCAGAGATGGCGACATTCACACTACTACGCCATCCTAACATCCCTCACGTCTTCCAGGTTCTAGCAACATCAAAATATTCTTATTACAGAATATGCCCTGGGGAAAAAAAACTTGTACCAACTGATAGTGGAAGATGGCAGGCTGCAGGAAGAGGAAGCCTAGAAAATATTTGGGCAGATCATGTCAGCCATCAAGTACTGCCATGACCTTGACAATCGAGACCTGAAGCCCCAAAACATCCTGCTGGATGCAGAGGGCAATGCGAATCTGGTAGATTGTGGTTTCACCACCAAAATGTACTGCAGGGGTGATGTGGAACCAAGACCTTCCATGTCTTGGAACTGGTACTGAGAGAAGGCTATGGTAGGAAGAAAGCAGATGTGTGGAATCTGGGTGTGCTGCTCTAATCTGACACCACTGGGCACCACTCCTTCAGAGGAAACACCCCAAAAGAGACTGAAGGGAATAACATCAAAGGGATCCATTATGCTACAGCCCACATCTCTGGGCAGCTTGAAAACTTAATTCCCCAAATGCTCACAGTTACCCCAGAGAGGAGTTCCTCCATTGAAGACCTTCAACAAAATTCATGGGTCATGAAATGTGGAGAAAACATCCCAAGTGACTCCTACACAGATTCCAACATCCTAGACACCCTCTCTGACCTTGGATTTAATGCCAATGTCATTTTGGAATCCCTGAAAAAGAGAAAATAGGAAGAAATGATGAGGACGCACCTTATCATCAAAGATCAGCTACACAAAGGACTTAAGTTTGACTGCACCACCTCACCCAAGCCTACGGACCCTGGTCCTACAACTCTCCCATCTCCAGTACAAATCTTTCTATCTCTGGTCTTCTCCTAAAACGAAGAGTCAATGAGCCCACCTTTGGCCTCCTCCACACCCAGCCCTCACAACAGAACCTGCCCAGTGTCCTGACACTATCAGGGAAGAATGTGGCCAGGAGTGCCTCCATGCCTCAATGTTGTCCCCAGAGGAAGATCTCCACTTGTAGCTATGACCTCCTATCCAAGCTGCGGCTGCTCTATGTTTCTGCAGTAGCGCACCAGAAGAGGAAATGCCCGTCACCTGGGCCAGACTCTGACATTAGGTGCTTCAAGAGATTGCACAAGAGAGTCGGGCTTGCCTGTCAAGATTTGTGTTGCTTCCCACACTCCCCAAAGACACAAGCCCAGTCTATGTTCACCAACACAGTGACTCCCCTGAGGATGGCAGGAGGCAGAACCCAATGAAGAATTGGGCAAGCAAGTACGAGAGGGCACATATGTGCTTTGCATTTTATTTTCTCTCTGTCTGCCTGTCTTTTCATTGGGAGAGTCGGAGAAATCAGAAACGTGTATGTTTGTGGGGTCTGATGGGATGTTCAGGTGGATTAAACCCTGCTACTTAGCATACCTCCTCAGGAAGAAATCCTGCTGGAACACACCTATGGTATCTGATGCAGCTGGACTATTTTACGTGGAAGGTTGCCTTCTGTATGTTGGAGCTGGCTGTGGTACTGCATATGCTGGGAAATCCAGGGTGCCTCTGGATGGACAGTATGGCAGAAGTCAACTCTTCCTAAAAAGCCTGATTGACAGAACAGATAGATAGAGCCCACAGGTCTCCCGTCTTGGTGACCTTCTGCTTTCTGTCTGTCTCCTTCGTCAACACTTGGAAGAGCTTCTGCTTCTTCATGTTTTGATGTGGTTGATCTCAGACAGGAAAGGTCCACCAAGAAAGCTAACGGGACAAGACTAGCAATGAGGGGAGGTTTTTGTTTGTGGGTTTGTTTGTGTTTTTGGGGCATGGGTGCGAGGCTACCAAGCTGGGGAGGTGCAAGGACAGTGGGTATGACCTGGGAACATAAACCTTATGCCAGCTCCTATATTTTGTTCTCCAGATTCAGCTCTGACCCTGAATTATCTTGGCTTCACTGATGTCCCCAGCTCAGCAGATGGACAGCAGCTGAGTGGCCTGACTACTTTAAGGGTGAATCACATCTTTAGGAACTCCTTGAATAGCGTCCTGAAGGAGGAGAAAAGTGCAAGGATAAAGGCTCAGTGGGCATTTCAGGGTACAGAAGGCTTGACTGCCTGAGGTCATAGGTCACTTCAGAATCCAGGAAGAGGCAGAGGCCCCTCTCCACAGAAGAAGCCTCTTGCTGAAACTACAGCTTCCAGGACTATGACTGTGACACTTGTATCTCTGTGAACACAAGGTTCAGGAGTATTTTGTCCAGGGATCCTCCGTCCTCCTCCCACATGACATCAAGGGAAGGAGGGTTTTCTGACTCTTGAAGGGGCTGGAGATAAACTGAAGCCACAGTCTCCATTAAAGCTGCAGTTCTGTACTTTGTGGTCAATGACTCTTTTTACACTGACACAGGTTAAAAAAGTCCCCAAGTTGTACTCTACAAATTCGTGAGTTGTATGGGATGAAAAGGCTAATAAATCCATAAATCAATCCCCCCCCAAATAACAAAGTAAACCTTTTAATTCAACAGGGGAAAAAACCAAACAACAAACCAAAAACACACATAGGCCTGTAGGTATCACTGAGTGCTTCAACTCTGAAGACTGCTCAAGGATTGGATCTGGTCTGCTAAGCATGGTTTGGGGGTGTTCTGATTGACAGGAGAGCTGCCAGTTCATATGTTTCTCTTCTCTAAATTCCTGGAAGCCTACACAGTTCATGCCAAGCCATTAAGAACAAACCAGCCCTTGGGCTGGAGAGATGGCTCAGAGGTTAAGAGCACTGGTTGCTCTTCCAGTGGTTCTGAGTTCAATTCCCAGCTCACAACCATCTATAGTGGGGTCTGGTGCCCTCTTCTGGCATAAAGTTGTACACGCAGCTGAAGCACTCACAAAAAAATAATCTTTAAAAAAATTGATGGGTTAAGGACAGGGTGCAGGCCACTGGTGTTTTACCTTCCTCACAATGACTGTGCTTTAACTACTAGTGGCCCAGCCACCAAGGCCATAGCCTGGCAGGAAATCTGTTTCTCTGCTCTGTTGTTACTACTAAAAGTAGTTCTAACTAAATCTGTATCATCCTAATAAAACTAGAGGTTCAAAGGCTAGGGTGAAAACCTACACGCTCAGAGACTTAGAATAGCAACTGGCTAACTTTCTCTCTCTGCTGACTTCAGGGGAGCCTCTCCCTTCCACACCACCCCAACTTAGAAAAAAAGAAAACCCACACTGTGCTCCTCCCTGCTTCTTCCCATCACCAGTTGCTAACACTGCCCCTCTGAGCCCAGGTTAATATTATTAAATTAATGCAAATGCCAACACATAGTTACAAAGTTAACAAATGCAGCACAAACAAACGTAACGCATTTTTGTACAGTGAAAATAATATTCCACAGCAGGTCACCGAGAATATGCCCAGGGTGTTTTGTCCCTCATAGTTTGGATCCTGTGCTGATGAGGTAATAAAGCAAGGACAGACACACCGATACATGGGCAGTGAAGCTGGGATCAGCTGGGTTCCCTAATGAGGTCGATGGTTCCTGGGACCATCAGCTTGTTCGTCAGGCATGGGGAGGGGATTGTCAGCTGGACTGGGTGGAGGTCTCTGCACATGAGCAGATTCAGACTTTAAACACCCCAGGGGAGGAAACGACAGTTGCTAGTCTGAGCACACTGGTCAATCATTCATAAACAATCATGCTTGACTCCCGAGAAAAGCTTGGTCATTCCTCTTGAGCCTGACTCATATGGGTGACGGCTTTGACTATTTAGGGTGGGACAGTAGGTCTCTGAGTCCTAGATGACCTCAGGACTTCACTCATTCGAGGCTTCCTTGTTCCCTACACAGAAGGATGGGGACCATCTCACTGACAGGAGGGGAGTACCAGTCAGGGTCTCTCTCTGCCTCCAGCCTTCTCCAGCAGGCAGGCCAGAGCCACGGGCTTCTCTCAGATCTGTGCCAGAAGAGCAGTCTCCACATAGCCCACTCCTGTGCTCCTTCAGGCATCCTCCAGGTCCTCGGTTCTGCTACAGACAGGCCCCGGCCAGCTGCTTCCTGACAGTTAGATAGTCTACCTGAGCACCCTGCCTCTGGTGTCATCTCACCTGGATCTCCCACTGATCATCCCATCTGTGTGGTGCCCACGTACGACAGTCAGCTTGTCAGCTTTACACAGCATGAGGCATCTGAGGAAACCTCACCTGAGAGAACACCTCCATCTGATTCCCTGTAGGGAACTGTGTGCAGTAATTTCTTGACTAATGAATGACATAGGAGAGTGGTAGTGGAGGGTAAAAGAGCCAATGAAGGAACGCCCTGACCCTGATTTGACCTCAAGCCCAGACCTGGGCCAAGGAAAACAAGAAAACAAAATCCACCAACCCTGAGCATGAAATCCCTGAGCTTCAAGACTAGGCCACAGAATCTCACCAACCCCTGAGTTTTTTACCCACAAGATCAGATCACACAATCCCTCCAATCCCAGGCCACTCTGGAAAGCTCTGCTTCCCCTCCACCAGAAACTCTCTATAAAACGTGCCTACTGCTCAGTTCTCTGCTTCTTCTCACCCCAGTAGAGGCAGCCTCCCTCCTGGATTTTTCCCTCCCAATACATCTTTAGTGTGACTTTTTTTGTACTGTGTGACACTGGAAAGGATGACATATATAGGAGAGCTGGCTCATCAAGCCAGTGAAAGCAAGTGGGTCAGCAGCACTTCCCTGCAGTCTCTTTTCCACCTCCTGCCTCCAGGTTCCTGCCCTGCTTGACTTCCTGCCTTGACTTCCCCTCTATGATGGTCAAGGACCGGGATGTTTGAGCCAAACAAACTCCCTCCATCCCAGGTTGCTGTTGCTCATGACATTTGTCACATCAATACAAAGTAACCTAGGGCAGACATGTACTTTGCCCATTGGTCCTCCTCAGAAGCAGCAGATGCTTTGGTGGCAGAGAATGGAGATGAAAGGAAGGCTGAGAGACACGCCCCTTTCGAGAAAGGGGGTTGGTGGGTGGAACTCTGGGGGATGGGCAAGCCCTAACTGCCACAGGCTGGGGTTTAACTTACATATGGAGCCCACTGCTGAAGATGTGGTCCTCAGATGGGGGGGTCTTTATCTCCTCGTGGCATTTCTAATAGTTCAACTCCCAAAAGTGGAGAGTCACCAGAGCAGGAGTGGCAGAAGGTCAGAAGCAGCCCTGTGCTCAAAGGGAACACTTTGAGTTGGACAGGAGAAATATATCCAGACATTGTGCACAGCAGGACAGTGATCCTCAAGCAAATTCTCCTAAGATGTTCAGAACAGCTGCCTGTGGGCTTCCTGTGCTCCTGGCATCTTATGAAGACAGCATGGAGACCCAGAACCCCGTAGTTCTGAGGCAGTTGGGTAGCGACTCAGGCAAGTTTGCACACTTCCAGTGACAGGTGGAGTCAAGACTTAAAGTCAGCATAGTCAGTGCTGCAGGCCTCAGCCTTTTGGTCCTCCCTAACTAGACAGTCAAGAGGCAGGAAGTACTGGGCTGTAGCTGACTGGTCCCTTGCACAGGTCCTGTACTGGACGAACGTTGCCAATGATGCTCTTGGGAAGGAATATGAAGGTGATATGCAGGAGTAGATGTGGGAGTCATCTGTCCTAGTCTGCAAAGGAGGCTGGAGACATGCCTGCCTCCTATTGTTACTTACAATGGGATGAACTGCTGCTCTCCCTACCCCACATGGATCCTCATAGTCAGGCCTTTGCTAGGGTAGAGGCTGGCATGCAGGCACTGAAGAAGAGCGGTCCCTGGAGGAAGTGATGCTAGTAGTGTTCTAAGTCTCTTGAATTATGGCTAGAGAGATGACCTTCCCAAGTAATGGTACCTCAGTGGGGACCAAACCATTTCCCCTGAGTGAAGATTCGAAAGCATGGCTTCCAATTAAGTCTGCACGCGTACCATACCTGCATTAATCTCAGCCTGGGCTAAATGCCTGTGGGGTAGGACCACAGCCTTTCCGTTCTGTTATTATATCCCACAATGCCCTCAAGAAGAAAGCACACAAATACTGAGTCGTAAACTCTCCTGTGGTCTTTTTCCCTGTCCCTCTACACTATGCTTGACTGAAAGGCTCTGTTGACTGAGGGGGAGAAGCTCAACTCATCCAGCCAGCTCCTGTACAACCTACAAACAGCAGAATGTGGTAGACTTCATGTTGAGCCCCTTGACATTTGTAGACATTTGAAGGCATTTGTAGCCTGGCCAGGTTCTGGAAGCCTCTACTGCCACATGTGGAAACAGCCTCCAGAGAATGAGATAAATGCAGCCTGACCCCAGGCAGCAGCCAAGAGTGAGAGAGAAACAGATCCACCCTGCTGCTTTGTTGCGCATGCTGAGGACACAAGGGCCATGCCCAGCCCACTCTCAACTTCACAAGCCGTTACTGTAGCCATCCCCTGCATTCTGGGGTCAATTTTATATAGTACAGCCTAAGGGGTACAAGGGAGTATTGTGAGCATCCAGGACTCAGCCTGAATAGGCTGAAGAAAAATAGCACAAAAGTTCTCTGCTGACACAGTTGTGTGGCTCTTTGCTCTGCTAGCCATCACCAGGAATCTCCTGGATAGACTGGATAGTTTCCGCTCTGATCTGGCCTCTTGATAGCTCCTGCTTCCCCCAAGTCAAAGGCCTCCTTACCACCCTCTAGCCACTTCTGGCATCACTCTACTGAACATGGAATTCACTGCTCCCCAGATTCAGTGTCTTACTCGATCGTCTTCAGGAGTCCCCTAGTAGCTTCCAGCCATGTGCAGTATCCCTAGTGAACAGCTCCCTCCGACTCATCTGCCTTGTGTGTGCTCCAATGGTGACTGCTTACAAGGAGATTCCAGGCACCCTCTGCACGCTTGTCCCTTTGTATCTTCAGAAGACTGAAAACAACAGCATTGACACTCTACAAACACCTGAGAGCAGGACCCCACCATGATGTCTATAAGGGTCCAGGGAATCCTAGTGTGCATAGGGCAGCTGACTGCAGAAGCAACTAAAAATGTCCTGGGTGAATGAGTCTGGCTCTCCAAATCATGAGTTGCTCTTCTACTGTCCAGCTGATGGAATCAGCCTCTCCTACAAGCTCTGGCAAGGGCTTAGAGGGCAGGGTTTAGACTTAGGATCCTGTGTAAGCAGAAAGATGAAATACAAGGAGTCATAACACCTCTACTGGCCGAGGAGCTCTTTCTCATCTAGACTCTAGCTATCATACATACACAGGGAGAGAAGGGGTGAATAAGAGAGGGATCCTGTGGTTTTCCACTGCTCCTGTAGTCCAGCAGCACTCTGGCCTTTCTGAAGCTGCCCACCATCCTATCTCCACATCACCTGTCAGCAATACGTTGATAATATTTCCCCTG